CACACACACACACACACACACACACTCACACAGACACGCTCCCTCGCGCTCTCGAGCTCTCGCATGTCGACTATGTTTTGCACTTGCGACCCGGTACAAGACATGACCCGATCCTTCGTCCAGTCGCTCCTTCCAACCCAAGCCCCTTTGCATATTATGACTCTCGGGAAATATGTGGGGGCCCGTGCACCATTCCGTGGAAGACCCGACGGACAGGAGAGGGGAGCAAGGGTTCTCGTCGAAACGAGTCGCATATGGTTGAGATGAAGAAGACGATATGATAACAAACCACGACAACTGCGAGAAATCCACGAGGGCTGTTGCTCTCCTCCACAATCAACGAACTTCCTATCCTCAATTTTCTGTTTTCAATCCAGTACATTGTTTCAGACGGATGCATCGATTTTTGTGATACATGTCTAACCACCTCTTTTTAATGGACATGATCCAATCGCTAGAGCAACAGGCGAGCGGAAAAAGCCTAGGCCGTGATTTTCTTCTTATTAGTACGGTATGGAGTCCATCGACGGATGGATGATCCCAAACGCCGAAGTTGGTGGGCTTATAATGAGCTAGCTCGGGGCGGTTGGTGGTTTTGGGATCCCGTAGAAACGCATCTTTGATTCCTTGGGTATTAGCTACAGCTTGTATGCATTCAGTCATTTCATTTCGGTTGCATGGACCTTTACTTTTTTTTCTTTTTTTTTGTTTTGGAAGAATCCAAGCTTTCATTAGGTGCTTTATTTGTTCTTCCGGGATTGTTTTAGTCAATGGACGGAGGACGACGGGTGAGAGTAATAGACGTGTATTGAGTAGGTGATCTATGGTGCTGCTCCGCAGCTAGCGCCTAATCCAGGCTCCCACGAAGGTGGCGCCGGGAGAAAGATAGTGGCACCTCTATGAAATCACTCGAGGCTTCCAGGCCGAAGGAAAACGCTCTTGTTCGCCTCCAAGCAAAAAGTGCAAAGACTCAGTTGTTACGAGATGTCGTTTAGCCACCAACGGACTGGACCCATCCTTCCTCGGCTGGAGCCCTCCCTCCTTCCTTGCAAGGCCTCAATTTGGGTGGTTCTCCCACCACCACTTGGGTAGGCGTCTTGCACTGCCACGACGAAAAACAACTAATAAAAGACATGATGTATGGATTCCTTCACAGGGGAGAAGATGAACAGTCGTAGTACACGATACTATACGTGTGGTTGATGGGAAAGGCCGGACCAAGGGGAGTGCGAATAAGACGATGGTTCATAGATAAGAAGATCAGGAGCCCCACTTTACATCATAGTCGATCGACGCACGACGATCCCGGGTGAGGCCAGTAGATGTGAATGGATGAGTAGATGCAATGACATCGTGGGTGAGTGGGGATGAAGAAAAGGGCCCGACGATGACGACTGAGAATAGATGATGTGTCGTAGATGAGTGTGGATGATAAAAAGGGCCCAACGCTGACGACTGAGAATAGATGATGTGCCGTTCACAAGGGACGATGGCCAGTGAGAGTACGTGGGTGAGTGTGGATGATGAAAAGGGCCCGACGATGACGACTGAGAATAGATGATGTGTCGTAGATGAGAGGATGTACCTACCAATAGGCTTAGCTCAGTTGGTACACCCATGAACTGTGGGATACAGACCCAAGTTCGACTCCAGATGCAATCAGATAAAACAAAAAAACCTGCCTGGGGCCATTCACTTCAATGTTGAAATCACATGGCCATGCCATGCCCGTAGATAAAAAGGAAAAGGGAAAGAGATGTATCTAACAATAATATAAGAGACAATTACTAACGAATAGGGCATTATGATCAACAAAAGGAATAACCTAGTCCCACCATTTTTTATCGTAGACGGACGAAGTAATTTACAGATGGATAGTCTACCGTGGACATCAAAATCCCTTTACAAGGCGAATAGTTGACGGTCTACGGTTGTTCGGTAGATGGTGGAAGGTAGTTAAAGTCATACATACACAATCTGATAGGTGATGGATGTTCTACCAGATGGCAGGCCATAATGTATAGACAGTGTGGTATAGACCAGAGATTGGCGAGATGGATGCTAACAAATCATCGGAGAGCAAACAGGAGAGAGAGACGATAGAAAAGACTGAGAACGGAGTCCTCACAGCAGAGAAAAGGAATGCGACTAATACCAGCGCCTTTGAGAGGAGATGAATACGAGCGGATAAGAGCTGGATTAATGAACGCACGAATGGATGGCCGACGACCCAAAGAAAACAAAGAAAGCCGCAATCTGACATCATCTACATGCATGCAGTGCTCTCTCTCTCTCTCTCTCTCTCTCTCTCTCTCTCTCTCTCTCTCTCTCTCTCTCTTTCTTTTTCTGTTTGTGTGTGCGCGTGTGTGCGTCTGTCTTTTCGTGTGCACAGGAACACAATGTGCCACCTGCCGACCAAACAGCCGCAGCACGCACTAAGAAGGAAACGATACGGACACAAGACGGTGAGAGTCGCCCCCCACAAAGGATAGAGTCCCCAAGGACAAGCACGTATTGCAGAACATGCGTCAGGTGAGAGATGAGAAAGGCGTCATACTCGGACGCTGGAAAGGCGGAAGCGGAAGAGAGGCAACGAACGGACGGCAAGAGGAGGCCAATGGGGGCCGGGAGACGAAGACAGCTGACAAAGGGGGAGTACGATAAAGTGGCGATTGCGCGTCAGGTGGGGTAGGCAAAGTTAACACTTGACACGGGGGGTAAGAGAGGAAGCAGGCGGAAAAGAACATGCCACGAGACAGCAAGGCGGGAGATGACAACGCGCGGGAATATGATGACCAGAAGGAAGACGATAAAGCGCGGGAAGTTGATGGCCAGGTGAAAGCTGACAAAGCGCGGGAAGTTGATGGCCAGGTGAAAGCTGACAAAGCGCCAGGTGGAAGATGACAAAGCGCGGGAATATGATGGCCAGGTGGAGGAATGAACTGGCGATGGAAGAGCAACAAGGTGGGAAACTCCGCGTCAGTGGACAGCAACAGCGCAGGCAGGAGATTACTTCAAAGCAGGGGCTGGGAGGCAGGCGAAAGCACGGCAGGCTTCCAAAGGCGAGCGAGACGACAAAGGCGGACAACACCCAGGGAAGGGAGTGTATTCGCTAGATACAACACAAGATACACAAACAAGCCAAGGGCAAACAAAATAGAAGAAGAAAAGGGTAACATCGACCGACTGTTTCGTCAGAGAGTCCCATCGACTCATCACGAAGTTGAATCTCAACAGTCTGCTCTCAAGCATGATGCATGTCACAGCTGATGGCCAAGGAGATCACTACTTGGGGCAATATTCACACTAGGTACAGCGATAACGGCCCGTGCGTTTTATTTGGGAGAAGACGGTAGCGATACACTTGAGAAAAGCCCGGGGAACAGACGAGAATTTGCGCCTCAGGAGACGAAGCAGTTACTGCCTGCCCGTTTTCACCCGAACAGAACAACTCGACCGGTAAGAAAGCTTATATACATTCATAAGGAGGGGTGCGTCTGCATTGCGGAAAAGTAAGGGTAGCACAGACTTGGGAATCATTTGCTTGAGTCCATCGTTTCGGACACGGACTCTATCTTATCACGACTGTACCAGACCGGGAAGATAACTCGTACACATTCAAGACAAAAAGAGGGCGCGTCCCCGAATTCACGATACACTGGAACGGAACACACCTCATACTACACACACCCAGATCTCCGAGGTTGTCATATTTTGCAGTAGAACACAAGCAGAGTTCCCCAGAAGAGGAATGCCAGGCGGTCAAACGAGAGGGATATGACGGGAGAGACTGTAAAAAGAGGTGCAACGCAGGTGAGAAACGGCAGATCTGGAGAAGAACGACGCCGAAGACCAGCAATGAATAGGATGAGCAGAGAGGAGAACACTGGGAAGAGAAAACTGTGAGACACGGGAAAAGAAGGATAAAAAAGACCAAACAAAAGGCCACAAACCCATGCGACGAGAAAACGAGCTTAGCCGCACCAATAATGGTGCGACAGCGATGTAGGTGATGCGCCGCAGAGCTCTGACAATTCTAGGATAATTACGGCGGCGGAAGAGAAAGTAAACGGCAAAGGAAACGCGGAGGGCCAGAGCGAAGGAAGAGGAGGAAAAGGATAAGAGCGAAGGAAAAGGAGGAAAAGGATAAGAGCGATGGAAAAGGAGGATGATACGAGTAACGGGAAAGGACGAGGACAGCGACGAAGGAGGACGAGGACAGCGACGAAAGAGGACGAGGAGGACAGCGACGAAAGAGGAGGAGGACAGCGACGAAAGAGGACGAGGAGAACAGAGACGAAGCTGCATACAGTGACTGAAGCCCGCGTTACTCAGAAATGAGGAAGAGGGAATTCGGGAAGCCTGCGCTTTCTGGTTACTCGTTCTATTGAAGAAAAGTGCCCTAGTAACGCGGCAATAACCAAACTAACTTAAAAGAGTGTGACTGACTTAAGAGTATGACTGACTGAGAGTACGACTGACTGAGAGGAGTCTGACTGGTCGGAGACGGGAGTGAAAGGGGGAATGTGACGAGTTGGCAGCATGCGTGGAATGACGAAAGACTAGGGGAAAGAAAATCGAACAACGCCAAGCAACTTACCGCGTCAGGTGAGCGCCAAGTGAGTTGGGCCGTCATCGCAGCTACAGCAGCCATAGAATTATTCGGGCGAGTGAAGGGCCTCGGGCCGAAACCCGGAGGCAAACTTGGCATGTTGTTCCTCTCCATCTGCTGCTGCTGATAATGCATCTGGAGCTGACCTTGACCTTGCTGGGATCGGAACATCGACATAGAGAACTGGGATGGGGCATCATCCGAGGCGAACGTCCGAACCTGCAACGGAAGTAAGTCATCGAGCATAATAGATTAGGAAAGAAGTCGGCGGCGAGCAAAGGAAGAGGACAAGGACCACTCGTTGTTTCTCAATCGTCGCCAATTCGCCTGCAAAGAACTCGCTAGGGACCGGATCAATTAAGTAATAATGAGTGCAACGCCAAGGGCGACCAAACAAACTACAGAAAATAATAATACACAGAAAGGGCAGAAAGACCCATACCACGCCATACCTCATCTACCACAACCCTATTACGCAAAAGATTATGTACCAATATGTATGTGTAACTCAGAGAACATGGCAGCGTCATACGCCCCCCCCCCCTCTCTCTCTCTCTCTCTCTCTCTCTCTCTCTCTCTCTCTCTCTCTCTCTCTCTCTCTCTCTCTCTCTCTCTCTCTCTCTCGCGCGCCCCCCCCCCGCGACATCGCCCCCCCCTCCTCCACAGCTTCCTGTCGCCTCCTTGGCTCCTTTCGTCCCTCGCTGGCTATCGCTCTGGCATCTGTGCTCGCTTTGTGCTACCCACCTCAGCAGTAGTTCTAGTTTTTGCCCTCGGCACCCTTTCCCCCCCCCCTCGCTCTCCGTCCTCTTCACCTCACCTCGCCCTCCAACCTCCGGTGAATATTGGAAAGTCACATTGCGTGTATGATCAAGCGAAACTGCGGAAGTGATACCAGAAGACATCACAACTCCGTCCCCTTCAGCCACCAACACCCCCTCATCGGTGTTTGAGGACCTCATACAGGCAGAGGCACCCCCTCATCACAAACAACTTCATCCCATCGAGCCCAACAAAATTTACACCGCAAGCTCAGAACAATATGCGACCCTCTGCATACAACGCAAGGCGTCTTTCCGTGTGCCGAATGCCCCCTCACCTCAACCATCCGTGCTACGATGAAGACAGCATCATTATTAGAATGCGTCCACCACCATCATTATTATTAAGCTGGCCCCTCACCTCCACCATGCTTGACACCGACACATTCACTCAACAACGCACGCGGACGAATGCAGAACAACATGATGAAAATGCAAGCAACAAACGCTTCACTTGACATTCTGTTCAAGTGTCGTTCCCAGAGGGGTTTCCACCATCTTGCTATTTCGCACCTCGACAGTCCAAAACACAGCTCGACCCGAAACAGAACACCCCGCAAGTCTAGACCTGCTCACCCGGTTGCTGTTGCCCCGTTAAACTCAAACTGAGGCCTTTCACTCACGACACAAAGTAAGGTCATCTGTTTGGGGTCGATACGGTGTTGTGCTCTCGGCCATGGAACAGTTAATACAGCACGGATTTGGAAGAGTTTCCTTCTCCCCACCAAGACCTCGCCTGCAATTTTCGCCTGCAATTTTCGGCCAGATCACGGGAAACGCCTATTCCATCTTCCCTTTCACATTCCCCTATGCAGCCGCCGCGACTCTCCCGTCAAAACTTATCGCGCCTACTCGTGTCCCTCCTTCAAGCCGTTTCACATGCTTCTCCCCCC